CTCGTTCAAGGACACTCAGAGATCCCGCTAAGGTGGCCCCTACGGTGGGAGAAGTGGAGGAATATGCTGAGGGAAACCATCCTGTAAAGGTTAAAGAGTGTCCTGTAGGACCAGAAACATTCCAATCCCAAAGAACGGCAATCCCAAAGACTGCGCAAACTACTCATTTCACACGCTAGTAAAGTAATGCTCAAAATTCTCCAAGCCAGGTTTCAGCAATACGTGAACCATGAACTTCCAGATATTCAATCTGGTTTTAGAAAAAGCAGAGGAACCAGAGATCAAATTGCCAACATCCACTGGATCATCAAAAAAGCAAGAGAGTTCCAGAAAAACATCTATTNGTATGGATGTAAGAGTTGGACCATAAAGAAAGCTGAGCGCCAAAGAGTTGATGCTTTTGAACTGTGTTGTTGGAGAAGACTCTTGAGAGTCCCTTGGACTGCAAGGAGATCCAACCAGTCCATCCTAAAGGAGATCAGTCCTGGGTGTTCATTGGAAGGACTGATGCTGAAGCTGAAACTAATACTTTGGCCACCTCATGCGAAGAGTTGACTCATTGGAAAAGACCCTGATGTTGGGAGGGATTGGGGGCAGGAGGAGAAGGGGATGACAGAGGCTGAAATGGCTGGATGGCATCACCGACTCGATGGACATGGGTTTGAGTAAACTCCGGGAGTTGGTGATGGACAGGGAGGCCTGGCGTGCTCTAATTCATGGGGTCGCAATGAGTCGGACACGACTGAGCAACTGAAGTGAACTGAACTTGGGGTCAGTAAGGGGTCTGATCAGTTATACATTCAAAGGGATTAAGTGTCATATCTAAAGTCTGAACACAGTCATGATATAGGTGTTTTGCTTTAGAATTCGGTGTAGGGAGTAAGCTAGAAGGATTAAGAGCTTTACAAGGCATAAAAGAAAGGGATGGATCGAGAAGGTGTGCGTGGGGGATTTGTAGTCGAGCAGGGGACAGAGCAAGGAAAGCCCAATGAGAGAGTAAATCTCTGAAGGAACAAGGGGAGCATACATTTAGAGGAGCGTTTCGGGTTAGTTTTGGGGGCTTCAGGTATTAAGAGGGTGGTTGCAGCTAAGGCCTGGAGACAAGGTGGCCATCCAAGCATGACGAGATCAAGTTGTTTAGATAAGTAAGCTAGAGGCTCCCATATGTCCCCCCTTTTTGGCACAGAAGCCCTAAGGCATGTCCTTGTCTAGAATGTACAAAAAGGGGAAAAGGCTTGGTGTGATCAGGTAAGTAAAAAGAAGGGGCCTGTAGTAAATGTTTGAGAAGAGTCTATATTGGGGTGTGGAGAGAGATGGGGGCCAATAAGGGCTCATCTAAGTTTCCTCGAGCAGCTTGGCAGACAGGTTTTGTGTGGAGGCAAAATTTGGGACCCATATTCAAAAGAAGTTTAATAGACCTAATAGAGAAAGAAGTTCCCTCTTGGTTTGGGGCCTGGGGGTCTGTGTCAAGCAAGGCTCGAAGTCTCTGAGCTGGGATTATTTTGGATGTGAGAGTGAGAAGTAATCCCATGTGATTGACAGTGGTGGAAGCAATTTGTGCTTTGGAGAGCGAGTTGCCTAGGGCATTTAATACCAACGCAGTGTGGACTAGGCTGTTGTGGTGAGAGGAACTACATAACAATAAATCATCTTCATATTGGAGTAAGATAGTAGAGCCTAGGTCTAAAGTTTGTAGGTCTCTTTGGAGGGCTTGACCAAAAAACTGAGGGCTATCTCTAAACCTTGTGGTAAAACAGTCCAAGTTAATTGTTGAGATTGATATGTGTCTGGATCCATCCAGGTGAAGGCGAATAGGAGCTGTGAGGAGTGGTGTAGAGGTATGGTAAAGAAAGCATCTTTGAGGTCTAATACCATGGAATAGAGTATGTCAGGGGGAACATGTGAGAGAAGGGTGTAGGGTTAGTGACCACAGGGTGTACATGTATTGTGGCCTCACTGATCTTGCAAAGATCTTGGACTAGATGCCAGGAGTGTGGTCCCTTTTTGACTGCCAGTATAGGAGTATTATGAGGAGAACAGATAGACCACAAAAGGCTGGCTTTGAGCAGTCGGGAGATTATTGGTTTAAGTCTTTGTCAGGAGTCTGTGGTCAGGGTATATACCTCTCTGAGAAGAAACAAGTGTTTGCTTCGGGTCCTGGCCGATGGAGGAGGGGTGGAAATCTCTTTTGGGGTTTTAGAGTCATCCCTTCCTGTTTTGGAGGAGGAAGGGCTAGAGGATGGGGTCTCATCTCCGGAAGTTTTCTCTCTGGGGTGGTAGGGAGGAGGCTCATCTGCCAGGTCAAAATCAGGGGCTGAGAATTTAGGGGGCCTTTTAGGGGCTTCAGATTTGGATTCTTTGGTAATGGAGGGGGAGCGAGAGCAGAGGAGGATTTGATAGGTGGCACAGGCCTTGCAGAGAGACGGACGGCTTCTAAGGTCCCAGAAGGCTTGAGTACAGGGGACCTCCGACCGTTTGCCATTCAGTTTGAGGAAGTTGTGAGATCTGATAAAATACTGAAATCGAAAGTCCCAAACTCAGGCCAGCAGTTTTGGTTATCCAGTTCGTATTGAGGCCAAATTTGAGTGCACAGTGACTCGAGTTTAGGAACCTTAACATCAGTCAAGAAGAGCAGTTGAGGTTTTGTTTTACGCAGGCCAAGGGAGAGTCCCGTGGGACAGATTGACTTGACCCCATAGCAAATGGGTAGCGACTGTCCGGTCGAGAGAAAAGGTTATCACCTAATCTTTTGACCGGGCGAAGAGAGAGAGATGCTCTGGAGGAGGAAGGGGTGTCCCCCAAGTACCTTCGCAGAGGGCCTTTTGGCCAGAGTGTTCCCAGGGCACCTGGAAAGGACGATAGTCTATGGCGCCCTAGAGTACCGTCTGAGCTTACCTGGGCAAGAATTCGTGGTGGATGGAGGGAGGTCGAATGGCAAAAGGCCTCTGTCCTGGAGTTGGTCAGTCTCACGGAAAAGAAAGTGTAGAGAAAAGAGGGAGAGAGAGACCAATATTCCTCAGGTTACGTGGAAAACCAATAAAGGCCTTACACCGGACTTGTAACGCTCACGAAGGCACAGGGCGTCTCTCGAGGAGGTCTTGAAAGCCCGGACGGGAAAGTGAACTCAGCAGGCTTCCATGCTCCAAAGAGTTGGCTGTGGAGAACGAGAAGGAACCGCAACCTCCCGGGTTTCAGCACCAAAAAATGTAGGGTAAGGGATTTAGAGAAGGTGAGGTCAGAAAAAGAACAAGACCAGCACTCTACAGGAACAGATCACCTTTAATGAGGCGAGAAGGGGCAGCAGTCAGATTAGTGAGCTGCTGCACTAACCCAAGGAAAGAGTAAGTACACATAGGCATCTGTGTGGAACTCTACTGTCTTAAGGGGGCCTGTTTTCTCCAAGTTCGTTTGGTGTAGTGATCTCTTAAACAGCTGGGGCAAGGTATTCTGGAGATTGGCCAGAGGCTGGACTGGCTGGGAGCTGGGGGTAATCTACCTTAATGTCCATTTTGGGGAGCGGGGGAAGAGGTGAGAGAGTTCTTTGTTTTGCATAAAATGGTGGGGAGGACCTGGAGGGGAGTTTTAGCTCCAAGCTATTTTGAGCCAGGTAGCTTTCCTGCAGTTACAGCCTCACATTTACTGAGAAAAGTGAGCAATCACATTCAGTGACTTGAGTCCAAAGTGCAAAATGGAAAAAAGTTACTTCCAACCACATATCTAAGTGCACAGAGTTGTGTAGGTAATACATGACAGTTTCCAGGTGCATGAATGGGACGGGATTGGCTCTTGTTCAGCACCCTCCTCCCCTGCCTGCCCACTTGCATGCACTTCCCAGTCTCACAGAGAAGGACCTTGTGTAAGGAGAGGCCAGTCTATTCAGAATATTTTCTCAGGAAGGAAGGCTATTCAGGGAGCCTGCAGGTGATCCTTGGCGTTAGAGTTGGTGTCCCCAGAGGGTCTCCACGGCAGGATAAGGCGTGGGAGCTTGATTCAAGGAGGGCTCTGATGAGTGCCTAAGGAAGAGGGGCTAGGGTTAGGAGGGGCTGCTGGGCCTCCACAAGCTGAAGTGAAGAGCCTTCAGAAAGGGTGGTCTTGTAAACTGGTGCTTAGTCAGGTCTTGTAAACTGGTGCCTAGGGGGTTCCAGCTTTAGCTTCATGGAGGTGAGAGGAGGTAGAAGGGATAGTGAGACAGGCTCCTATAAATCCCATAGCCCCAAAGCCTCTGCCATGGAAAACTACTTCTTCCTTCCTGCCGGGACAAGGAGATTTGCAAATAACACAAATAATGTTCCCCTATAGAGAAAGTGTTTTTATTTCCTGTCACTATAGAATTTAAAGTTTTTTACATAATATGTTAGAAATACAGAAATTTGCTTCATAAAATCTCTGGACAGTAGTAATACACATGGATACTAATGCTAATATTTTGGCCAAATACACCCAACCTTTACTTTTCCCCGTAAGAATAGTGTCGCATTACACACTTTGTTTCATCCTGCTTTCCTAACTTATGTTGGGGTTTTTTTCTATCTTTGATGCATACCGCTATGTTCATCCTTTCTAATGGCAGTCGTGGAAGCAGGCTTGCTGGATGGATATATTCCTAATTTGCTTAATCAGAAAATAGAGGCGGTTTCCAGTTTTCTTGTCTTTTTTTTAATTTTACCAACAGAGTTTATTATCAAGCTTTTCACATTTTGCCAATATGATGGCTAGAAAATAGAATCTGTTATGGTTCAAATTTGTACTTCACTTATCACGGGTCAAGTTTAATATCTTTTCGTATTTTAAGGGCCATTTTTCTAATCATTTTGTAAATTGTCCTTTCCTGTTTTTATGTAGGATTTTTATTCATGTTCATCTTCCATTTAGAAAACCTCTTTGTTGTAAATCAACTATACTCCAATAAAATTTTAAAATTGAAAAGTTTTAACTTTTATATCTCTATAATATTTTAAATTATACATGCTAATTGTTAAAAATATTAAAAGAGGGTCCCCGCCACGGTCACCCCGGTTCTCAGCCCGTCCTTTCCGCGGCCCTCGAGGGACCATGGCCGATTCTCGCGTGAGGCAGATCAAGATCAAAACTGGCGTGGTGAAGCGATTGGTCAAAGAAAAAATGATGTATGAAAAAGAAGCAAAACAACAAGAAGAAAAGATTGAAAAGATGAAAGCCGAAGATGGTGAAAATTATGCTATTAAAAAACAGGCCGAGATCCTGCAGGAGTCCCGGATGATGATTCCAGACTGCCGACGCAGGTTGGAAGCTGCACACGCTGACCTTCGCAGTTATTAGAGAGTGAAAAAGACTTGGAAGAAGCTGAGGAATATAAGGAGGCACGTTTAGTACTGGATTCAGTGAAGTTAGAAGCCTGAAGTTTTCTGTACAGGGTATTTTTTGCATTAAATCCTGGGATCCATTCCACAATTCATTATTTTTGACCACTGCTATGTGTTCAAGTAGTATGAGAATGTGATTCTTTTTATGCAGTGCATATATTTTTCTTTGCCTAATTTAATGTGTCAAATAAATGAGTTCATCTAATTAAAAAAATATTAAAAGAGAAAATTGCAAAGAAATAATCACTTAAAAATCCACCATTAAAAGGCCACCATTGCATGCACACAATGCAGTATTTAAAATGAATAACCAACAAGGACCTACTGTATAGCACCTGGGACTCTGCTCAACGTTACACGGCCACCAGGATGGGAGCAGGGTTTGGGGGAGAATGGATACATGTATTTGTATGACTGAGTCCCTTGGCTGTTCACCTGAAATGATCACAACACTGTTAATTGGCTATATCCCAATATGAGAAAAAAGTTCCCAAAAAGTCACCATTGTTATCATTTCAGTGAATATATTTTCAAAGGGCACATAATCTTTCAATTTGCCAATGATTTATGATGTCAAAATATCATATATAAAGAAACATATATATATATATATATATATATATACATGTATATGAATTTGTTTTAACTTGGGGTTACATCTGCTACACTGATTTTTGTAAATCTATTTATAATTCATCATATGCCACTCCATACATAACAATCTGTTTGACTTCAAGGTATGAAGAGGTCAAAATTAGAAATTGCTTTGCTTACTTTGTTTTCTGCTTGATAATTTGAAATATTAATGAAAGAAGGAAAGAAACCTGATCATTTTAGAAAACTCATGATCAATCTATTCATATCCTCAAGTATAATCAAATCTGTAATTGCTTATGTTCTTAGTTGATTCTTTGAGTAAATATTTTAGCTCCTATTTTGACATATATCTTATATCCAAATGTTGACTTGTGATGAGGTGCCAAGTCGCTTCAGTCGTGTCCAACTCTTTGCGACCCTATGGACTGTAGCCCACCAGGCTCCTCTGTCCATGTTATTTCCCAGGCAAGAATGCTGGAGTGGGTTGCCTTGCCCTCCTCCAGGGGATCTTCCCAACCCAGGGATCGAACCACGTCTCTTAGTCTCCTGAATTGGCAGGCAGTTTCTTTACCACTAGTGCCACCTGGGAAGCCCCATATTAAGTCCCATTTCATACTAATTCCATCTGAACACGTTTTCTCCTTGCTTGGCAGAGTAGGGGTTCGGACGTAAGCACTGTTGTTTTCACTCATCCTTGTAAGTAAGTTGCTTGGTACTTTAACTGCAGACCACTAGATCACATTACTGGACTTGCCATGGAAAGTGCTATCAACCAAAGGTAGTCCTGGTTACCAACTCCGCCTTCTACTGCTACGTAGTTTGATATATTTTCATTTGTTCAAGAGTTTTGTACATTTTAATTTTTATTGGGAAAGTGGGGTCCTAATTTTGAAGAGCTTATTAATTACTTTGAAAATATTTTCTCAGGTAAAGAGGGTACATAGGAACACAACAGGCATAAAATAATAGAATTTTTTGCATGATTATTCAAGTAATGTTTTAAATTATTCTACTTGTATACATCAACCAGCCACGTCCTAATTACATGATGTTCCTCTATCTCTGAATCATTTTCCCTGTTCATAATTTATTGGTAAATTCCAAACTTTTTTCAACTACTGCCTCAAAATATTAGATTGTACAAGGGTTATATGTTCCCTCAAGTTGTGTATTTATGTGCAAAATAATGCCATAATTGTAAATGAGATTCATTTTTCGAGTATATTTTCTTGCTAGTTTGTAGATATAAAGGAAAACCCCCGGGGTTTTTTTTTTCCCTTCATATTTTTCTTTTCCTCACCAGTCAGCTTATGAAAGCACTTTAAAATTTTGTCACTTTTATGTAGCAATCTTTTTCATTTACTTCTCTTGAGAGTTTTTTGCTGGAAAAACAAAACAGAAACAACCAATCAACCAACCAATCAGCAAATAAAAACAAGAAAAAAAAATAAGTCTGTGGGCTCTCCATGCACAATCTGATCCTCTCACATCATCTTTTTTAGATTCAGTAACATATGTGGGATTGACACTCATGCTGGAAAAGGCTGTGTGGACTCTGCAGACCCAAGAAAACAGTTTTGAAAGTTGCTGCTCTCACGTGGTCTCTTTAAATCTTTGGCCAATGACACCTTTGCAAAATCAAGAAGTGGACTGAAAATCTTAAGGGATTTCCCATATGTTATGTATTTAATTGCATCCATCCTAAAATTTCATATATTGAAGCATCTCAGTATTAAACACTCAGAATCTTAGGAAGATTTCCAAATATGGAACGGGGCTGTTGTCAATATGATTAATTAAGATGAGGTCATACTGGAGTAAGATTGGTTACTTATCCAATAGGACTAGTGTCCTTATGTAAAGGGAACATTAAGACAGGCAGGCGCGCCAGGGAGATCTGTGTGTAGATTGGAATTATGCTGCCACGAGCCAAGGGACTATTAATCCCAGAAGCCAGGAGAGACCTGGAACAGATCTTCCCTAGAGGTTCCAGAGGAAGCATGGCCCTGCCAACAACTTGAGCTCAGAATTCCAGGCTCCAGAACCATGTGATTATAAATGTCTGTTAAGTAACTCAGTTTGTGGAACTTTATTACAGAAGCTCTATGTGACGAATATACCACTTTTCTTATCTAAAAGTATCTTTTACCAGTTTATTATATTCCCTATCCTCAATATTTTCATTATTCATGGCAGCAAAATTGCCTAATCTTACAGGCACCAACACAAGATTTCTCTCTCTAATATATTTTCAAAGAGAGATGTTAACACTTATGGATCTGAGGACCATGAAACACCATCAGGAATGTGTGTCTCTCATGAGGGCAGGTGGGATGTTCCCTCACAATAGAGCTAATTATTGTCACTTCAATACTAAAGCTACCATTGAGAACAGGGCAGGGGGGATCTCTGCAGTCTAGACTGGACCTCACAGTGGATAGAAATGACCTTGCCATTCATGAAGGCAATGGCTCAAGATGGGAGTATCCCAGGCAAGGCTCCTCCTCCCCAGTGATTTGAGGGACCTACTCAATGTGTTGCCTTTCTCACCTACAGATCCAAAGCACACAGGCCCTCCCAGGGGGTGGTAGAAGATTACTCACTTATTTTCCACATCCTGGATGGTGTCAAGCAGAGGCATATTCCTGGTTTCAGGTAGAAGAAAGACGACAAGACCAGCAAGGATAGGACACACTCCATAGATGATCCAGGGTAAACTGGGTAGAAACACCACTAGGGTCATCAGCAGGGGAGCCAGTACTGCCCCACACCTACTAGCCATCATATTTAATCCTGAAGCTTTTGCTCTGAGGGGTAAAAGAGAAAAATGCATAATAATTCAGTTTTAAAAAATCCCATACATGTAATTTATGATCTACTACTTTGACATTATGTATGTTAAGTTGCTTCAGTTGTGTCCGACTCTTTGCAACCCTAGGGACTGTAGCCTGCCAGGCTTCTCTGTCCATGAGATTCTCCAGGCAAGAATACTGGAGTGGGTTGCCATGCCCTCCTCCAGAGATCAAACTCGCATCTTCTGCGGTTCCTGCATTGCAGGCAGATTCTTTACCACTGAGCAGCCAAGGAAGCCCACTTTGACATTGTAATGGAAGACAGAAAACACAATTATTACATACATGAGTTTGATGAAAGACACTTGTTTTTGAGATTTATTCTGTGATTCTAGCTGTCTTTGTCGGGATCAAAGTGTGTTAAAACCCCAAGTGGTGCTGGGAAAACTGGTCAACCACCTGTAAAAGAATGAAACTAGAACACTTTCTAACACCATACACAAAAATAAACTCAAAATGGATTAAAGATCTAAATGTAAGACCAGAAACTAT